TTGGACCTATTTGCTTTCATCACATTTTTGTAGTAGAAGTTGAGATCATTGATTTGAGGTTCATTCGTTCTTTCCCTCTTTCTTTCTTAAGAGAGATTGTTTTTCTTACTATAGTGTGTATGTGCTCACCGGAGAGACAAGAGCCAGAGAGACAGAAAGCAAGAAATCACCCCCCAGAGGGAACGGCCATGCCACAGTCACTCCTTCTCCATTCTCTCCATTCTCTTCTTGGGACTTTGGGCATGCATGCACACACACACATGTGTCCAGTGTGAGTTCCAAGACACCGGAACTGGGACTCTAACCGTGGTTGACTACATGGGAGTACAGTAATGCAACCATTATGCCATCTAGTGCTCCTGATTTTAAGCCTTTTCAAATTTAGATATTTAGTGCGGGATGAATGCTACATGACTGAAGGATGTGGATTGGGTTACTTGGCCAGTCTCCCATTGCTGAACATTTAAGTTTCCAGTTTTTTACTATTATAAACAGTGAAGCCATGAATACTCTACATCTTTGTACAGTGATGATAAATTACAAGGAGAGACTCCATCTTGTGATCTTGGGTCTTCTCAAAGAGCAGTGTGCACTAGGAAAGTGTCCCTTCCCTGTTTTTCTTTCCGCGTTCTCCTTTGGCATTCTTGTTTATTGTCCTGTTGGTCCTCCTGTTTTATTTTTTCTTGTGCTCTTCTCTCTCAGGTTTCTTATGTTGATAGACATACTTCTGTTATTTTGCCAGTTAGCATCTTTATATTATTTGGATCCATTATGTTAAAGAGTTATTCATCAGGTTCTATTTTAAACTATTAATGTTGCCTGTTCATTGCCTCTTCAGCATTGTTTGAGATAATTTTTATCAGCCTATTAATATGAAGTAATTCAACTGAATAACTTTACTTCTTCTTTTAAATTTATTTCCTTTTTTTGACATTTTCCCACAAACATTTACTTTACATGTCAAAAGATATTTGCTCAGGGATCCAGCAGTTAGCGTAATGGCTATGTCGCTGGACTCCCACGTAGTCGACTGCGGTTCGCGTCCCGGACCCGGTGGCTTAAAACTCACGCCGGGCGCGTGTGCGTGCGTGCCCAAGATCCCGAGAAGAGAATGGAGGAGAAGGGATTGCGGCGTGACCATCCCCCCGGGAGGTGATTTCTCGCTTTCCATCTCTATGTCTCTCTCTGTCTGTCTGGCGAGCACACGCACCCTATAGCGAAAAAAACCTCTCCAAAAAAAAAAAAAATTTGCTCATAATCAGTTCTTTAGAGTTAATAAACAACTTTCAAATTTTCCAAAAAACTGAATTTTAAAGATAACTTTCAAAATATTTGTTATAATTTTACTTTTGACTCCATATTAATAGAAATAGTATGGTTTTAAATATTTTTGAGAAAATATTTACATGTTAGCCACTCAAACTGTTGAGAAGCAAACCCCCAGCACACAGTTCACACATGGACCCTCCCAACTCAGTTCTGCCTATGAAATGTTCTGTGGTTTCCCATCAGCTAGCAGAGATCAGTTTCTTTCTTCCTTCAAAGTGTTCCTCAAAGTAGTCCTCTGGTTATGGCTGCTATTTTGCAATCTTTACTGATTACAATGCTGGGCTGGAAAAGTTCAGGTTATTTTATGGTACAAATTCTTTCATATGGCTTCTCTAATCCTCCCTGCCAAGCAGAGCTGTTTATGGTATCAGGCAATCTTTCCAAGAGCTTCTGATGGCTTTCTTGATCTCTACCTTGACTCCATAATTTTCTGGTCCTATCTTTAGATATGACATTTCAACTGGATAACTTTGTGTTAAACATTCTTAAGTACCTACAAAGAAAAAGGTTGGTGGGGACCAGCAGGTGGCGTGGTAGTTAAGGCACGGGACACTCCCACATGGCCGACCAGGGTTCAAGTCCTGGACCTGGTGGCTTGCTTTCTCGCTTCCTCTCTCTCTCACTCTCACCCTCTTTCTCTCTCTGGTCAAATTAAAAATCAATGAATGAATAAATTAAAAAGTTATTTTTAAAAAAAGATTTTAGAAAAATAAAAGGAAAAAGGTTGGTTTTTGTGTTTGGTTTTTAATTGCCAGACCATGCATGCAGTTGCCAGAGAGACAAAGAAAGCACCCCTCAGCAGGGCATAGTGACATTGCAGTCCTTTTTCCTCCACCTTCCCCTCCCTTCAGGATTTTGGGTGCATGTATACATATACCAATATCTTTTTTCAAGGTGCTGGTGCTGGAACTCGAACCATGGAAAGCTGTGTGGGATCCAGCTCACGGCGGAAAGCACTTAACCACTGTCGGCCTGTGGTTGATTGGTTGGTTGGTTGAGTTTTTTTAGTTTGCTACAGAATGCATGCACTTGCTAGAGAGAGAGAGACAGAGAGAGAAAGAGAAGGAAAGTGTGAAATCACCCCCAGGGGGTGGCCACACCACAGACCCCTCTTTTCCATTCTCCTCTCAGGTCTCTGGGCACCCACCCATACATACATGCCTGACATGTCCCTCAAGCGTCCAGATCTAAAACTCAAATCACAGTCAGTCATATGGGATCTAGCTGCCAGAACCTCCATGTTACCTGCTGGCCCAGTTTTCTTTTTCTTTTGCCAGTGGGAATATATGCTCACCAGAGAGAAAGTGCCCCTCTAGTGGGGTACCATTACACCACAATCATTCCTTTTCTTCTCCATTTCTCTGTTTTTTCAGAATGCTGGGCATGCACCCACATGCACTCTATGTGTCAAGAGCTGGGAGTCAAACTGCATTTGGCTTGCAGGATCTGGCTCCCAAAGCAGAACACTGAGCAACCACGCTAGGCCTAATTATTATTTTTTCTTGTGTGTGTGTGTGTGTGTGTGTGTGTGTGTGTGTGTGTATTCATTAATATGTTTCTAGAATTCATTAGCTAATATTGAATTCAGGTTTATTCGTTGCATTCCGGAAGTAACATAGCGGCCTACAAGTTGCTGTGATTTCTCTGGTTTGCTCAGTACTGTCTTTGTCACATTTTCAGAGTCTGCCATGGTAGCTTTAAAAAGATTGGAAAGTTTTCCTCCTTTATCTGCCCTGGAGGTTGGAGAGCAACACAGCTTTCACACCGTTTCCTAAGAGAGTGAGAACGGGTGGCAGCTGCAGGTCAGCCTTCTCCAGGCTCTCCCTGCAGTCAGCTGCTCTGCCTGTCTGCTTTCTCAGAGCTGGCTTTGTAGGGTTCTGGGGTGGTGGTTTTGAGGTTGTCATTCTTCTTTGGGTGGAGTTTGTTGTATCCCAGGCCACTATTTATGGAAAATCTATTTGCGAGGACCAGGAGGCTCGCCCTAGAAGCCCTTCAGATGAGCTGCTCTAAGGACCAAGTGAGGCCTCATAGACAGGCTTCACGTGGTGGCCTTGGAGCATCTGCCATGCACCTCGCGATCCAGTGGAGGTCTGAGGTGGCCCTATAGGCCCCACACCTGAGCGTTTCAGAAATTTGTATCTGGCCCCCAAGTTCTGAGAAGGCATGAGTCATCTCTTATACTTTGTTTTATAGATTTTCTTTTACATGTATGCCTTGAGCTTTGGTCATCTTGCTTAATTGAAGGTGGACTTTTATTTTTCATAATTTGTTCTCTATGTTTTAGGTGAATTTCAATCCAGTGAAGTTTTTACAGTCAAAACGACTTTTATGTTGGCACAGTAAAAATTCCCTGGGGCCAGCTGGCGACATGGATGTTAAGGTGGCTGTGTCCCACACGGCCCACTAGCAGTTAGTCCTGGATCTGGAGGCTTGAAAAATCACATGGGGTGCAAGTGTGTGTGTGCAAGTGCGTGTGCACGTGTGTACCCAAAATCCTGAGAGGAAAATGGAGAAGAAGGGATTGTGGTGTGGCCATCTACACTGGGAGGTGCATTTTCACTCTCCCCACCCCGTGTCTCTGAGAGCACACACCCTATAGCCAAAGCTAATTAATACATAAATAAATGTTATTTCCTTTTTTTTTTTTTCTCTAGAGTGTGTGTACTTGCCAGAGAGACAAAGAGGAAAAGTGAGAAATCACACCCCTGGGAGTGTGGCCACACCATAATCCCTTCACTCTCCTCTCAGAATTTTAGGCACGCATGTACACAGCCTGTCATGGGTTTCTAGTCACAAAAATCAGCGGCCATATGGGATCCAGCCACCTTCACCACCACACCACTAGCTGTCCCAATATTTTGAACTGTAATTCCATTTTCTACAGAACTTTTGAGATTACATTAGCTCTTACATTAGAATAGAAGTTGTCTTAGAAGGGCAGGCATCCCTGCGGCCTGATATCTTTTTGTTTTTCATTACCATAGGGTGTGTGCACTCACTAGAGAAGAGAGAGCATTCCAGTGGGGCGTAGTCACATCACAGCCCCTCCTCCCTTTCTCTATCCCATCAGGATTTGGGGCCCTCATGCACATGCACCCAGCATGTTTTTCAAGCCACCAGGGCCAGAGTTCCTACTGTGCCCTTGACCACCTGAGATCCAGCTCCCTTAACCACTAGGCTACAGGACCAACCCAGTACCTAAAATATATATGTTTTAGTTTTCTTAATAAAACTTTAAATTTTCTAATATCTTATATAGACACAAAAGTAAAATGATTCCTTAGTCCTTCAGGTCCCCAGTGGCACTTTTAAGATGTAAAACCTGACCTCTGGGGCCAGCAGGTGGTGTGGTGGTTAAGGTGTCAGATCCCACTTGACTGACTTTGCAGACCCCTTGAAAAACACACTGGGCACTTGTGCGTGCTTGCCCAAAATCCCAGGAGAATGGAGGAGAAGGGATCACAGTGTGGCCATCCCCTGGGGCAGCGGGGGGAGTGATTTCTCACTTTCTCTCTCTGGTGAGCACATGTGTCCTATGGCAAAAAATAAAGATAAGAGACCTGACCTCCAACACAGTAAAGGTTGCACTCACGTGCTAGTGTGTTTGCTGTAGTCGGGTCAGATGCTGGTTTCGTTAACCCTAGTTAACATGTGTGGCTTCCTTCTGGCAGGACCACAAGCAGGCGGTGCCACTTCGCACTCGAACAAGTCGCCCATTTAGGCGTGAAAGGTACCGTGCTGTGGAATGGCAGTTAACACCTCCCTAGAGCGTTTCCATAGGCTTCCTGTAAAACCCTGTGTAAAGCAGTCTCTTCAGTCATATTAGAAGTGGCATGTGATCTCCAAGTACTTGCAGTTTTCCGTTTAGCAGTTTCTGACTTTTAATTATGTAGATGTTGCATGCTTAAATAAGTAAAAGTAAATTCATTCCACTCTGCTTTTACTCTCATAATGAAATTAATTTTTATACTTACAAGAAGACAGATAAGTGGCTTTGTTGCAAAGAATGTGCAGTAATGATAGCATGCAATAATTTAGAAACAGAAGGGAGTCTAGAAAGGAATTGGTTGGAATATGAATTTCTTTATAGTCAACTGTGGACATTTAGATTGCCTCTGTCCTTTGTCAGTAATATCTATGCTCTCTTCTTTTTTATTTTAAAAGTGCTGTTTCCAGAAGAAATTATCTTACAACCTCCACAAGTGACAGGGGACTGGAGCCATGAACCAGAAACCAAAAGTGAGGAGCAGGCCACCGCCAAGGTAGGGCTTAGTGACACATAAATCGACCGTGACATTTAGACCGTGTTTGAATTCACTTCTAGATGTACTAGCTTTTCAGTGGAGTATAGTTCATAAATAACCTAAGATCACAGTTTAGACTAACTGGGCCAGGCCTGCAGGTGGTGTAGTGATTAAGGTGCTGGACTCCCATATGGCTGACCATGGTTCAAGTCCCAGATCTAGTGATTTGAGACACTCGAGGCTTGTGTGTACGCACGCCCTAAATCCCAGGAGGAGAATGGAGGAGAACAGCCTCTGAGGGGTGATTTCTCACTGTCAGTCTCTGGCGAACACACGTGCCCTATGGCAAAAATGAAAGAAAAAAATTTAAAACTAGACCAGCGTAGCATGGTGGTTAAGGCAGCTAGATCCCACATGGCCTACTGTGCGTGCCCAAAATTCCAAGAGGATAATGGAGAAGGCATTGCTGTGTGGCCATCCCTAAGAGGTGCTTTCTCACTTCCCCTCTCACTGTCTCTTTTTCCCCGCCTCCTTTCTGTTATCTGATGGGCAAGAGCTTGGATGAGTTGTGAGATCCTGGATTCTTTTGGTCCAGATCTCTAAGATTACCTGCTCTGAGACAGTGGAAAACCACAAACACTTGTAAAGTGGGAAAAGAGAAGTCGTAATAGAAAAGTGAAGATTTTTATTAGAAAATAAGTACACCTCCATATCAGAAAAGCGTGTGGGCTGGCAGCTGCCAGAGGATGGCTGCACTGGGCATGGGGCCAGCTGTTACTTTCACTGTGGACTTTGGTGATGCACATTTAGCAAGGTGAGGGCTGTCGTAGTAGCCGGCTCTTTGACTTCTCAAGGCTTCTTCCTGGGGCTTTTTTTCTGTGTTTACAGCGCCTCTCCTTGATAGTTTACTGTTCTAGTGGGAGTTAGGTGGTGGGTTTTTATGTATATGTGCGGGGTGGCAGGAGGGATGACAACATTCCCAGAGCCAGGAACTAGGTGGGAGGAGGGAGTTCCCACAGAGGGTCTGGTTGCCTTCTGGTAGGCTGCGATCGACAGGGCTATGTCCTGCTTTTACCTCAGGACTGCTCACTCATATCTACCTGACCATAACACCCCAACCCCCACAGTGAGCGCCTGAGCCTCACTGCAAAAACGGCGTAAATAGAACTAGCTAAAATAGCTCAGACGCAGTTTTTATAGGGCTAAGGTGGGTGCAGCCTGTTAAGTGGCGAAAAGCAAAGTGCAGGCATTCGCAGTCCTACAGCTTTACTCTGAAATACACGCTTCTTGGGGCCAGCAGATGGGGTCGTGTTTATGTCACTGGACTTCCACATGGTTCACTGCGGTTTAAGTCTCGATCCCAGGAACTTGACACTCATGCCAGGCTCATGTGTGTGCATACCCAAGATTCCAGGAGGAGAGTAGAGGAGAAGGGATTGCAGCATGGCCCTCCCCCTGGGGGACGATTCTTCATTTTCCCTGTCACTGTCTCTGTCTCTCTAGGCAAGTGCATGTGCCCTAAGACAAAAACCTCTTTTTTAAAAAGAATTACTTTATTTAACTTTATTATTATTATTTTCCAGTTTGATAGAGGGAAAGAAAGTGAAGATACAAGCCACCAGGTCCAGGACTTGAACTGTAGCCGGCAACGTGGGAGTCCAGCCCCTTAACTACCACACCACCTGCTAACCTCAACAAAAACTCTTAAAAAATAAATATAGGGAACCAGCAGTTAGCGTAATGGCTATGTCGCTGGACTCCCACGTAGTCGACCGCGGTTCACGTCCCGGACCCGGTGGCTTAAAACTCACGCCGGGCGCGTGTGCGTGCGTGCCCAAGATCCCGAGAGGAGAATGGAGGAGAAGGGATTGCGGCGTGACCATCCCCCCGGGGGGTGATTTCTCGCTTTCTGTCTCTATGTCTCTCTCTGTCTGGCGAGCGCACGCGCCCTACAGTGAAAATCTCTCCAAAATAAATAAATAAATAAATATAAAGTAAAGCTGTATAGTTCTGATGCACACCCACACAGACAGGTAAGTTTATGTGGACACGCATAGAAAACGCACACCCACACAGCGAGCTGTCGGTGTCTGCGGTCTCTGAGTGCTGCACAGCAGTCTTGCTCTACGGCTGTGCTTTTGTAGGATGAATCCTAGAGTCTGTAAAATGACTGTCAGAAGTTCTCACATTGAAAACCTCACACACATTACTAAATTTTAGCCCAGGTTATACCAAGCTGCCCTCCTGATGCCGTTGTATGAGTTTTGCAGAGTACAACCAACATACCATAAGGCGCAGGCTTGAAGCGTGTGATTTGACAAGCTCCGGTGCACACAGCCCTGGGAAGCCATCACCACAGGCAAGATAAGGCACAGACCCAGCGGTCCCCAGAGCTCCGTCCCTCTTGAGCCCTCTCTGTTGATGGCCACAGCAGCTGGTCTGTGTCATAGGGCTTCGTATCAGAGCACTCACGTGGCTCAGGGATGGCTCAGGGAGGCTGGGGCCACACGGTGAGAACAGCCAGCCTGGTGACATGTCCCTGCCGTCCTGACTAGCCGGGGGCTGGCACAGGAGGTCTTGGTATGGTGAGGCCGTCAGAAACTCAACTCTCGGCGCAGTGGTTGCATCACTGAACTCCAACGTGGCCGACCACGGCTCAAGTCCTGGACCCACTGGCTTGAAACTCGGGCCAAGCGTGTCTGTGTGCTTTCCCAAAATCCCAAGATAAGAATAGAGGAGAAGTGATTGTAGCATGGCCATCCTCCCTGGGGAGTGATTTTTCTCTTTCTGTCTCTCTGTCTCTTTCTGGCAAGTGCATGTACCATATAGCAGAAGTCTTTCTTTAAAAAAAAAAAAAATACCCTTGGGACCAGCAGTTAGCGTAATGGCTGTGTCGCTGGACTCCCATGTGGTCGACCACGGTTCAAGTCCCAGACCCAGTGACTTAAATCAACGCCAGTCGTGTGTGTGTGTGCGTGCCCAAGATCCCGAGAGGAGAATGGAGGAGAAGCGATTGCAACATGGCCCCCCCCCCGGGGGGTGATTTCTCATTTTCTGTCTCTCTGTCTCTCTCTGTCCTTCTGGCAAGTGCACATGCCCTGTAGCAAAAACTTCTCCCCTCCCCCCAAAAAAATCATTCTCACCCACAAATAGTTTTAAAAAGTGAAATGATAAAGTGTGCACTGTTTTTTTGGCCTGACTCTTTTACACATTATAATGAACTGTTTTGAGATCCATCAATGCAATATATATAAAATTTTTCATGTGAATTTTTTTTTAGGTTGCTATAGAATACATGTGCTTGCCAGAGAGAGAGAAAGGGAAAGTGAGAAGCCACCCGCCCTGTGGGAATGCCACACCTCAGTCCCTTCTCCATTCTCCTCTCGGGATTTTGGGCACACACATGCACCCCCTGTGATTGTCAAGCCACTGGGTCTGCATGGGCAGCTGCAAACATGGGAGTCCCACACTAATCTTTGCACCACCTGCTGACCCTTGATGTGAACATTTTTGACGTAGCAATTTTATAGATCCTAGACTTTATCTTATGAAAATAATCAAGTGATTACACAAAGATATCTGTATATACAAAGCTATGAATTATAGGTTTTTTGTTTTTTGGTTTTTTTGCTTTAGCGCACGTGCACTCGCTGGAGAGGGACAGACAAAGGCAGAGGCAGTGAGAGGGAGAGGGAGAGATCACCCCCAGGGAGATGGCCATGCCACAGCCACTTCTCCATTCTCCTCCTGAGATCTTGGGCACTCGTGCACAGGTACCCAGCGTGAGTTTCAAGCCACCAAGTCCAGCACTCAAACTGAAGTTGGCCATGTGAGAGCCCAGTGGTGTATCTGCCGTGCTCTCTGCCAGCCCCAGAGTTTTTGCTATAAGGCATGTGTGCTCACCAGAGACAGAGGGAGGGAAAGTGCAAGCTGCCAGGTCCGGGATTCAAACTGCAGTCAGGTAGGAATCCACACCTTAACCACCAAACCACCTGCTGGCACCAGAATTGTTAGTAATGGAAAAATTGAAAACAATTCCATAGGTCAGGACAAATTCTGGTCTGTGTTTAAAGATACACACGAAGCTGGTTCTTACAGAAGGCTGTAAAGGTAGCTGGCAGAGAAGCAGCCTCTCTGGAAGGCCGCGTGTCTGTGGCATGTGGAGCTCCTCGGCTTTCTGAAGCAGGGTGCCAAGCTGCCTGGAGGCCAGGCCTGCACCTGCCACAGCCCTTCCCAGCAGGTGCCTCTGCCTCATGTAGGCCAGCCCTGGAGGCAGTGGGCACATGTAGCCATTGGCCCCACATCAGTTTATTTACATTTGTTTCTAAAGGTATTTCAAAACAGTTTAGCAGCTTTTTATCAGATGTTCTGTATTTTCATTGTGTTTCCAAGGACTTGACCTGTGGCTGGTCCAGAGAGCTGTTTAGATACAAGCACAGTTGCTCATGCAGCTGAGCCACTGTAGCACGGAGCTGCTTTCTGACCATCTTTCTGCATTATGACTTTTAGAATAGGAAAGCCACGAGGGACCAAGCCATGTCTGCAGCTGTGGAGAGCTACATGGGTGGCGAGGACCTGCCAGGGCTGCTGGCCTCTGCAGCAGAGGCGAGTGATCTGGGTACGTGTCTGCAAGGGGCTGAGAAGAGCGATAGGAGGTGGGTGCCTGGGGGTGGTACCTAGAGACCCCGCAGCTGTGAGAGCTGTGAGAGCTGCTGTAGTTGTTTGGGGCCTGCATGGAGACACAGCCCAGAACAGGCAGTCTCCTCTTACCTGGGCCCCAGCAACACGCCATGAGTTAGGTCACATGCTGTGAAGACTTCTAGGCTTTTGGTTATTTTTCCATGTGGTTTTTAAGCTGCGGTAGGCATTTTTGAATTGTGTCTCTGGTACTTTCATCACGTAGCATACATGAAGCAGTAACACAAGTGGCTCATTTTTCTGCTCTGGGAGTCACGGTAGTATCCCTGACTCGGACGAGGCACAGACAGGCCAGTAAGGAGAGCCGTGATCCTGTCTCACCAGTGGGTCTCCTGCAAGCTGTCCCATCTGCCCGTGGCCTGTGCTCTGACCCTGGTCTGGTGGGGACAGCTCTCTAGCCGCGCAGCCTCCAGTGACGCTGCTTATCCACTCTGAATGCAGACCGTGAAATTCAGATCCCTAAGGCCAGAGGGAGGGAGTTCTTTAACCCGGTGCTGAATGAGAACCAGCAGTTAGCTGTCAGAAGGATCCTGAGCGGCGACTGCCGCCCACTCCCGTACATCCTCTTTGGACCTCCTGGGACAGGAAAGACGGTGACCATCATAGAAGCGGTTCTTCAGGTGAGGGTCCGACCACACGGGGGCTGTATGCTGCTCCACGTGCTCCTGCGTCCTGGCCTTCAAGGGGAACAGTTACTTAGAGAATCCGAACATTATGAAGACCTCGAAAACCCGTTATTGCACATGTAGCTGTTTGTTATGTGAATATATTGGGTTTTAAAAACCCCTTTTCATCGTGTTAGAGAAAAACTCTTCACATCATGGTCTTTACGTTACCCAGAGCTTCCATTCTGTGGGAGCCCCGGCACCTCCGTTTACATCTGAGATCTGACCTTGCGGAGGTGTATTGTGGGCGTGGTGCTTCATGCCGTGTCAGATTCTGGTCAGAGACGTGCACGTGCTTTCCCCGGGGCCCTACGAGCTGGATGCGTGAGATGACCCACGCCACCTCATCTCAGAAGCAGTTTAGGGCCCCAAAGGGCAGAGAATGACCCCACTCCGCACAGCCCCGGTAGCAGCCATTGAGGCGGAATGTCCCTTTCAGCTGCAGAGATGCGACAAGGCTAACCGGGAGCTACAGAGCTGCGGCCCTGCAAAGGCCCTGCAAAGCGGGCTCCTGGGCTCACTTTGTGGGTTGATGTTTATGACCCTGGTCTTTCGTGTCTCTGACAAAGGTCCACCATGCTTTGCCGGACAGCCGGGTCCTGGTCTGCGCGCCCTCCAACAGCGCTGCTGACCTTGTTTGTCTGCGGCTGCACGAGAGCAAGGTGCTGAGGCCGGGGGCCATGGTCCGGGTGAATGCCACCTGCAGGTTCGAGGAGGTGAGCCCAGGGCAAAAGGCCACCAGAAGGGCTACAGGTTAGCAGGTAAGGTGGAGGTGGGAAGCAGAGTGCCACGGAAAGCCATGATGACCAAAGTGCTGCAACAGTGTCCATT